CGTAGGAAGAGATTTCAAGAGAGAAGCCTATGTTGCTGCTTCGGAGGAGATGGCAAACAAGACCGAGGTATACTATAGCTATCAATTTACACCTGCTATCTAATATGCGTGCGTGCTATCAACTGATACCTTGTTTCGGTACCCACTTTTAGAACCTGTTTCGTTCGATGCTTCGAGCTCAACGTAGAGGTATATACACTGCAAACACGACTTTCTACTCTGCCTCGCATATCGAACACGTACGCCCCATGTTTGAAGTAGCCTGGATGCCCGTTCTTGCCGGTCTTTCTGCACCTTTACAAGATACAGAGGATCTCGAGACAGCCAATTTTGCCATAGAAGGGTTTAAGCTTGCCATTCGTATTGTCTGTCTGTTTGACATGGAATTAGAACGCAATGCATTTGTGACTACATTATCCAAATTTACGTTTCTGAACAATCTGGGAGAGATGAAACCAAAAAATGTGGAAGCCATTAAAACATTGTTGGGAATTGCATTGGTTGAGGGAAATAATTTGAAAGGGTCATGGAGGGAGGTTTTGACCTGTGTGAGTCAGTTAGAGAGGTTTCAACTAATTAGTACGGGAGTTGATCAGACGACAGTGCCAGATTTGTTTAGTGCTAGGAAACAACCGAGGTGTGTTTACAGACTGTGGATAATTAACACAATGGCTTTGATTCATTGCATTAATCTGTTATGTTCATGATAAAGTAGGAAGCAATCGGTTGATGAAAGATCGAGAAGAACTTCGCTGTCCAAAAGGCTGTCGAAACCATCACCAAATGTAAAAGTTGGCAAATAATTTAGTCATATTATTAAGTGGCATGCATGTGTCGATTAACAATTCTTGCTAAACAGGTTATTTATGCGGAAGACGTGGCATTGGAGAGTCGCTCTTCGCAGGTGGTTGTTGCCGCAGATAAAATTTTTAGTACCAGTCCTAAACTCTCTGGGGTAATAATTATTGTTTTCGTGAATATGGTCTCAGTTTGACAAGTGTTCACTAATCAGAATTTCTCGGTGGAATTATCTAGACAGCTATCGTCGACTTTGTGCGTGCTCTGAGTGATGTCTCGTGGGAGGAAATTCAATCTTCTTCGATGACTGAGCATCCGCGAATTTTTAGTCTTCAAAAGTTGGTCGAAATTTCATATTACAATATGAACCGTATTCGTATGGAATGGTCTAAAATGTGGCAGATACTGGGAGAACATTTCAAACAGGTGACCACATCATTACATCAACTTCTTGTTAACGCTTAGTTGTTAAACGTTTCTCGTGTTTGTATACTACAGGTCGGATGTCATCCAAATGTGAATGTCGGATTCTTTGCAATTGATTCTCTTCGGCAATTATCAATGCAGTTCTTGGATAAAGAGGAACTACCTTATTTCCAATTTCAGAAGGATTTTCTGAAACCATTCGCTTACATTCTGGCTAATAATCCTAACATTGCTATTAAGGATATGGTTAGTCATTGCTTTTGTTAGACGTAGTGAATTACGAATTGCATGTGTGCTGTATGATAATATTTGATTTATTTGTAGATATTGAGATGCATGCAGCAGATGGTGCAAGCGAGATCTCAGAATCTTAAATCCGGGTGGAAGACGATGTTTGGAGTATACGCTGCTGCTGCTAGAGAAGCCAATGGTAAGCGGAGAATTTTGATCGCGGAAACATTGTTTTATGGATATCCGTTATTCAATTCGTTACATGTTTTTTTTTTCCAGAATCTATCGTATTGATGGCATTTGACTTGGTTAAAGGATTATTTAACAACCATTTTGAAGCAGTTGTATCGAATAGTACTTATCCTGACTTGATGGTGTGTTTGTGCGAATTTTGTAAGAATAACCACTACCAAAAGATCAGGTAAAGTATATGTATTATCAAGGTTGCACGTACTTGAAATTTATAGTACTCATTATTTTGAATCGTCTACAGTCTTCAAGCGATCGAGCTCATTTCTCAGTCATTGTTAAAGATGTTAGAATATCCAAAGTATCACATCACAGCCACTGTTCTCTCTGCCGATGGTATATCGACTGAGGGCAAATTTATCACGAATGATGATCCATCATTCAAATTTTGGTATCCCGTATTATTTGGATTTCATGACGTCCTCATGAATAGTGACGATCTTGAAGTTAGAACAAGGTAATGAGAATAATACGGATAGTCATAAGACAATAATGCAGCGAGACTATGTAACGTTGAATCTAACTATTTTCTTACGCGATTTTCATCGCAGGGCATTGAATTATTTATTTGACACTTTAAAGAAATATGGGCTTAGATATTCTGAAGAGTTCTGGGATGTAATCTGTAGACAAGTTCTATTTCCTATATTTGGTGTATTAAAATCGAAATCGGATGTTTCCAAA